TTTCTACAAATCGGATCATACCTGCAGCCCCTTATTACGGGCCCAAATGATCCGGTGGAAAAATTGCTGTCTGCTGAGAACCGGTGGGATCAAATCCCACTGCACTCCCACTGCTCTGATTCAGATTCGGCTGAAAATGCAGTACTGAGTAGGCACTGAGCATTAGACGGTGATCGATTCCTTTTTCGGATGCGCCATGCATTCTCCTATTTCTGTAGCGAATTGAAGTTTCTCTTTGTGTATGATCTGGCCTCTACATTAGACGCGGATGCCAGTCAAATTTCGAGCCAGTGATTTCTTCTTCTCAGATCAGACCATCGGCCCTCTGCTCCTCTAAAACGCTTGACTAAGGATTTCGGCTAGAAAGTTTACTCCTGGGACTTTTCAAGCAGTAGAACTCGATTATCACAACGATTTGGTGCGAAAGCGTCTGGCGCTCGAGCCACAGCGTCAGCTCCGTCACATCAGTTTGGCGCCGGCTCCAAGCGGCACGAGCTACAGGCTCACTCGCAACGAACTAATGCGATATTCATGCTTTGCGGGTCTAACTACCTCTGATGACAATTTTCAGCAAATTTGGTAACCTGAGACGTTTTTGGCGCGCCTTTTGGCGAAGGCACCTGTGGCGCGGAGTCAGGCATTTTCGCGCTGTCGTCTGTATTCTACGACTTGAACGTTGCCACAGGTAGCTTTCCAAGCAAATCCATAGCCCTGGACGGATTTCGAGAAGAATCCGGCACGCCTTCCAAGGAGTAGGGCAGTAAAGAGGAAATCAGTGCCGATCATCCTCCTACCATTTAACCCGAACGAATAAGAATAAAATAATAAGAATAATAGGAATTAGGGTTTGACTGACCCTTTGACGACAATGGCACCCATGGTGGGTGCCACCTTAAAATTTCCTTCTTTGTGCATTTAAAACATTTGTAACACCCCAATAATTATAAGCAAGTTCCATAATATCTATGGCTAGCACGACTTACAGAAATGTTTACTAAGAGCTAATTTATATAGAATTTTAGAATGTGCCATTTAGCTCGCCACCATATTAATTGGGGTTTTAAATTATTAGGCCGAAGATTAATTACTAATCAGGACTTCTTCTCATAGCCTTCAGATACAGGAAGGGGTTTGAAGTGTACCGGAAATTCTCTTGGACACTTAAACTTTTAAAGGTTTTGCCCTCCTTCCCTTTAAAACGCGAGTTCCCGTGTCCAAATTTGAATTCTCTTGAAAATAATTTCACAGTAAGGAAGCCTAGAACTGCAGCTTATAACTGGTATACTGTTAGAGTCGAAAATTCTACAGAAAATTGCTTTAAAGGACAATTTTGCCTAATTGTGAGCGAGAGTTGGGCGCGCCAAAAACAGGCGTGGTCCCACGAGCAAGCTACGTGCAAATCCGCATTGTCGTCAAAGGGTTAATCCTAAATAGCGTACGATCAAGGATTTGATCAAAAAATAAAATGTAGGCAAAATTTAAAATGATGATAGATATTGATTCGTAAGAATTCTTGGTTATTAACATACTTTCATCCCAGGCAGGACTAAAGCACTTACTCGCAAGCAGAGAGTGCGGGTTGCGAGCCCCGTCTTGTGCGAAAGTTTTGTTTATTAACCCAGCATACTTGTGAAACAGTGAGCGAGGCGAACTGCCCCTAGCAAAAGGACGCCAATAAAAAAATTATATTATTATTATTATTATTATTATTATTATTATTATTATTATTATTATTATTATTATTATTATTATTATTATTATTATTATTATTATTATTATTATTATTATTATTATTATTATTATTATTATTATTATATACCAGATTAGTCCCCCGTCAACCGCCGGGACCTTCCTTTCCTGCGCAAGCTTTCTATCCTCCGCTATGGTCCCTTCCTCCTGTGACACCAACACCTCCTGGAAGTGACGCGTATGCAACACAATGGTGTTTCATACAGTAGAAGGGACACAATCATGATATGACGGTAGATTTTTCGCTTCCCTTCCTCATCCTCCCTTCCTCTCTCCACTGCCCTCCAGCTGCCACTGCAGCACCATGTGGAATGAACGGAAGTGTGCTAAGCAGGTGTTTATATAGCCCTAAGAGTGTTATCACAACTATCCTGCTACAAAACATTGATATCTCAAATCCTGTAAGCTACCCGATTTGTTAGCGGTTTGTTTATCCCATGAGCTTCCTTCTCACTCACTTCATTTTGCGGACGGACACACATACATACATACACACACGCACACACACATACAGATACACAAACCGACACACAAAGTTAGCGCTTTATATAATAGAAGGATTATTATTATTATTATTATTATTATTATTATTATTATTATTATTATTATTATTATTATTATTATTATTATTATTATTATTATTATTATTATTATTATTATTATTATTATTATTATTATTATTATTATTATTATTATTATTATTATTATTATTATTATTATTATTATTATTATTATTATTATTATTATTATTATTATTATTATTATTATTATTATTATATTATTATTATTATTATTATTATTATTATTATTATTATTATTATTATTAATTCGTTATTATTTAAGTTTATTCAGCGAGATCATTGGAAAGAACTCCGAGCGGATTGTTCCACGCAGCAATTTTGATTTCTTTGTGCTTTTTTTTCCTTCATCATTCTTTGTTCCAGAAAATGTATGGGTGTGCCACTGCTTTCGTCCGGCATGCAGCAAAAGAAAGGAACAAAATGAAAAAAAGTTATTTCTGTTAGCGACATCCTCTCCCATGTCCATTCCACTTCTTGATGTGATTATTCGGCTTCGCTTCTGCTCTCTTCTCACTTCACATCGGCCTATCACAGGCGATTTGTCAATGTCCTTTTTGCACCCGAACATGTTGCCGCTGCGATGATTCCTAGGATGTCATGCCCTCTATTCCCTCGCTTTTATGCTAGAAATTTTTTGTTGAAGTTTGTTTTGAAGTCTTCCTTGTTTTCAGGACTCGATTCCTTCTGGGAGTATGTGGGTGGAAGTTTTTCTCAGCACCTTTTTCTTTCTATTTATTCAGGTAAATCTCCCATTGTGCACATTTTCTGCCTTTTTGTTAACTTTGCTTTTTTCGTTTTTTTTTTTCACTGCTGTCTTCTTGTTGTATAAGATTTATTCCAAAACGTACACACAAAAATTAATATTTTATCATGTTATGTGTTTTCTGAGGGCAATTCTCCATGAAATCTCGACATCGGCATTTACTCCTAAGAGGATGACCGCTCGAAGTGGCTATATGCAACGTGACCCGCGCAGTGATGGATGTGGATTTTAGACGCTACCTCCAATCTGTTTTCCAAATCTGTCAATCGATTTTCTGAAGCGGAGTTATGAAGAAGATTAGAGCAGCGGTAGTGGTCCGGCTCACGGGCGAGAGGTCGTAGGATCGATTCCCTGACGGATGTTATCGCTACAAATTTGCCCGTAGACTTTTATCTCAGAGAAACGAAATCACATTTGTCCACTGCAAAAACGTCTGTCACGTGTTTTGCGGGCTCCATGTGCGCTCGTTAGCAAGTAGCCCCCAAACATGTGAGGAACTCCTTGCAAATTCTTTGTGTGATATAGTGGTGCGTCAAGCGTTGATCAAGCCAAAGTAGCGGGAAAGCCTTTTTTCAAACCATCCTGCCGCGAAGCAAAAGGAGAATCCTCGATCCTCGACTTCGCGCCCGTGAGCCCGGACCACTTCCGCAGCTGCATTTTGCTTGATAACTCCCTCCAAAAAAGTCAATGGGCACAATCGGGAAGGAGAGCACGAGATACACGTCCAAAAACACATCCAGCAGTATACAGCTCTTTGAACAAGAAGAAAATCGACATCATAATGAGAGCGACGGCCACGAGAAAGGCGGCTTTTTTTACTTGAGCATCGTCTTTTATGGTGTGTGATCTGCACCCGATCTTCTTCTCGTCTTTCAAAATCTAGGTTTTGTCCAGTGCATGTGTACTATCACTTCGACCCATAATCTTTTCCTAAATAGTTAGTACAAGCTTGCGTGGATTAGGTTCAATGAGGTCACACTGCTTCTATTAAGAAAACTCAGGAAGCTCGAATTACGGATTTTCGAAGGCGTTTCGTATCTACTGAATTTTAAAAAATCAAAAAGTACTTGTGGTGTAGGTTGAAGGGGTGTTAGGTTGAGTAATCTCCAAAAGGCCATGTGCGCCGAGAAAGATCTTCACCTCTCCATTTTCATTTATCTCAGCTCCCTTTCTTACTTCTTTTTCTCTTTTATTTGTTTGTTTATTTATAATCTTCTCACAAAGTTACAATAATGAATGTAACAGTAGTTGAAAGCGAAAATGCCTGCGTCTCTAATTTAACTATAGCATTGCGAAAGGCAAAAAGAAAACAGACTATGGCAGATTTTAGCATTTTTTAGCAATGAACTTTTGGGGAGACTAGATGACCCTCCATTTTGTTGTTGCTTTGCAAAAGATTAGTGCTTTAATCCCTTTTTTTTTATATTTTTGGCGTGTCTAGAAGCTTCTGCTTTCAGGTCCTGTGAAAGTTATCTGTCTCTTTTCAGATATACATATCAGATTTCTCATATCTGACTGTTGATTAATGTTTTCAAGTATCTATATTTTTTGCTGATCTATTCATTTAATAATCGAGCTATTTCCTTGTTTTACTGGTTTATTTATTCATTTATTTACTAAGTTATTTAGTAATTCACTTGTTTTCTTGCAAAGATGCGTCGAAAAAAAACGAAAAAAACATGTATAAGGTAGAAGGAAAAAAAACGTTCGAGGAATGAAGGCACCTTGCATGCCCTATTTTCAATAATTAATTTCAAAGGTCCAGCGAAAACCGAATAGTGGATCAAAATTATTGGACCAAACCAAAATTACACATTCATTGTGGTCAATTAATTTTATCAGCAACATATTTTTGAAAGCTCATTTGGCTTCTGAGGGTCTGAAACCCTACTGATCCTTTCTTATAGGCTGCTTCTCATCAGAATCATATCCCAGTTGAGGTTGAAACACGCCTCGGTAAAATTCGAGGTCAAGAGTCAATATTTCTTCACAAACGGGTTCGCTCATTTCTGAGGTAATTTTCATTCTCGAAGAACGTCAGAAGACGTCTCTTGTAGTCTCTTTAGTAAATAATTTTTTCCAGCTCAATGATTGAGGTTTATTAATTGATTTTCAGTGTTCCATTCGCTGAGCCTCCAATCGGTGAGCAGCGATTTCGGCCCCCTAAGCCGAAGAAACCATGGAATCAAACAATAACTGCTAACACATTTGTCACCGGCTTGCTATCAGGTATAGATATGTTTAATTTTGGGTGTAAACGAAAAAATGAAAAGGAAAATTGTGGCCCGTTTTGTACACTCTTTTACAATGATGCCGTTTTTACCTCATTTTTCTTTACTTTAACCGTGGTACCTCGCACGTAACCAGATGTTCTAGAAGTAACCCCCAGCCTCCGAAAGCGTTTTTTCTTGCATTGATATAGAACTTATATACATAGAACATAGAACTGTGGTTCATTTTCCCTGAGCTACCCTCCAAATAGCAAAAAGGGGTGAAGAAAAATTCCTAAAGAACTGCCGTTCTTAACTTTTCACCAGTTTTTCAGCCAAGTCTAGTATGAAGGCTTACTGTGGTCCTGATTGTATGATATGACATAAGTTGTTTTACGCTGACGCTATTTTTCGCGAATTTTTAATCTCCAACACAAAAAAATTCAAAAGAATTGTCACTGCGAAGGATTCGAACCACGAACCACTTCATCACCCTTTTTTGGTATTCAGAGGGCCGCTCAGGAAGAAATGAACTACAGTCCTGTGTTCCATGCACGTACCCCTATGTAATGCATAAAACCCCCACGCTTCGAGAAAGCTGGGTATTCACTGAAAGACCTTCCTCTTAAATCATAGGTTGATATTGCCTGCCGCAGACTTCCTAATTTCGTCATTTGTGAATCGATTTTCATCGCAAGCGAAACAGGAAAAGCGGAAATAGAAAAATGACAAAACTTAAAGGCATAGTGCTCTGCTATCAGTCTACTGGTTTTCCGCGCATTGTGCGTTGTGGCGCCTTGTCATCGGGAGGCCTAAGTGTGCAAAGTTTAAAGCAGAAAGGAGGAAGTTTGAAAGAGATTCAGGGCTTAGCAAAATAAAGGCCCCGGATGGCTGCTGGTAGAAAGGGCGGAGTCAAGGGTCATGGAATGAATGGTATGGTGGGTGCGACCACGTGCAAGGTTTGAGAAGTTCCAACGTGAAGCTTTTGCGCGTTCAGGCGTTAAACAGGTGTACACATGCAGTTTCCCACCGCCTAAATTTGGGACAGTTTACGGCGGAAATCCAGTACTCGACAACGGCTTACATGGAATGATCATAAAACCATCGCCAACTTTCCCTCTTTTGCTAACCGTATGAAGCACGAGCCCTGTGATACAGGTTTTAGGTGAAATTGGGGGGGGGGATGTGCACTCGACTTCCATGCTCGTGAAGAAAAGATGTGAAATGCAAACACCGCTGAATATGCGAAAAAGTGTTTATACCCTTTGAGGGAACATCAAGACAATAAAAAAACAATACAAGCACCTGCTGGAATAATATTATTTTCCAGCAGTTTTTCTTCAGCCCTCTTTTGATACATTCAATTTTCCATACCAATAGGTTCCATTTTTGTTCTCACTATTTTATAATTACTTCTCTCATAACTAGAATTTGCAATTCATGTTTCTATTCCTCTTACTGCTTACTCACTCTGTGTATCTAAAAAAATACGTCCTATTTCTACTGACCTTGTTTCAGGGCCGTGATACGTACAACACCTCGTTCTGGGGTTCGGAGATGTGGAATCACAAACACACCAGTCAGTGAGGATTGTTTATTCCTGAATATTTGGACGCCTGCAGACGCATAGTACGTATCTATTTCTACATTGCGTCATTTTCCCAGAATGTGGAAAGCGCTTGATGAATTCGGCAAAAACTGCGGAATCCTTTTTTAGAAGCTTGCACTTCTTTTTTGCCTCTCAAACCATTCAAAGAATGGAAGTGACGAAAATTTGGAAGTTCCGCAAAGCAAAATTTATCTAAAGAAAGAAACTTGAAAGATTGTGCACCTTTGTTTCTGTTGCGCCATGCATTTATCATAAACTCAGAACTGCAGTGCTTTGAATATCAGTACTTTTGAATACTGTACTAGGACGCTTTAGTATTAGGTACCGGATATCTTAGTGTCGTTTTTTCACCACGAGTTTCGGACCACCAATATTTTAATTCAGAATCCGGGGAGTGAAACAGCATATTCATCGAATGACTCATTAGCACTTTCCCATTTACCAGTATGAGTGGAAACCTCGTACGATTAAAGCTAGGAATTTTTTGAGTCGAAAAAGAGAGGTAGGTCGGTTTTGACATCATCTGACAAATCATCCCTCTCACTTGCTAAAAAAGTTGGGCCTGGACAAAAGAAGTATACAGTTAGTTAGAGTAGGGTCTGCACTGTGCTGTATGATTGAACAAATTTATGACTATACGAAGTTATTACGAGTCTTTTTTTGCCACAGTGGGTCAAAAACGCACCCTTTTTGAGCACACGTGAGTAGCAGATGAGCACATTTATTAGAATTTCTTGTGCAATCAACTTCGTTAAAGCGTTTGTGCATCATCGATCAGTCACTGCTAAGTGTCCTACCATTTCAGCACAAAGACTGGTGCAGCCCCGTCTCGACTGATTTAACTAGGGCCACCTTTGACGACGATTGCGGGCATCACTTCAAAGACTTCACTGTCTTTTGAGAAAACTGTGAAAAACCGATGAGCATTTTAAATGGTAGTATTCCCTCCAAAATGCAATGTTGGTTTGGTGGGCTAGCTCTCAGCAAGAATTTTGAAGCATTTGGTAACAGACATGCGAATTTGCACACTGGACCCAGGAATTTTCAAAAAAAAGTATAAAAATTGGGGGAAAGTTAAATTGTGAACCAACAATAGAAACAATAAGCAACATATTTCGCAGTATTAATGAGCAAAAAGGACTTTCTGAGATATTGATTTTCCATAGTAATCGGCCCCAAAACTTCCTGAACTCAGAAAAGCGACACTAAGATATCCGGTACCTAATATATCTGGCACCAATTTTCCGATCCACCAAGTACAAAAACTTCGATGGTTTAGCTATGTGCCTTCATGATTGATCTTCTATCAGTTCTTTCTTTCGAAGTCACAATACGACAGCAATAACGGTGGTTGTTATGGGGTCCAATTGTGAGAGAACGAAGATAGTGAAGGCGCCGGTGATAACTTACTTGCCAACCAAGAAAAGAAGGAAAATTATCTACTGAAACTATCAAAATGAGGCCCCTCTCTTTAAGTTGAGTCGATCTGAGCGATAAGGAATCAAAGAGACCGTGTGCATACCGGTGAGGGAATAACAGACAAATGCGAGAGAGCATAGTGGAAAGCAGAAAAGCAGATACCACAGCGATGGGCGTGCGTTGTTGCTTGAAGTGTCCATGGTTCCACATGGTTCCAAGTTTTGCGCTCCTAGCGCCCTTTTCACGAGTTTCGAGTCGAAAAAGCAAGCAAGCTTACTCCGGCAGAGATTTGTGGAGTGTTTAGTAGAGTATTAATGGACCTAATGTCTGGACCCTTGTAGCATGACTTACACATGAGATGGTTCAGTAGTTTAGCCACGACACAAATGACTATCCCAACTTCCCTGGCTCCAGCTAGCCGCTCTCAAATACCTCTTATTCTATCGGTACTCTGTCCCTAATT